GTAGCTTACGTATCCACCACTAGCATTCAATCTAAGTTCCCCGGGCTAGCCTGACGAATTCAACCCAGCGTACGTCTCCGCCCCACGGTTTGGCTTCCCGTCCTTTGCTCCCCGGGCTAATCAGACGGATCCCAATCTGGCTTACGTCTCAGCTTCTGGTTTCAACTTTTCGCCCCCTATTCCCGGGCTAACTTGAGAATCCCAAAGTGGCTTTCGTATCCGCCTCGGCCTGCCCCCCGCGGCTTCAATTTCCCTAACACTTTTCTCTACCCGGTATGTTTCCCTAAGTTTTCTTCCAACAATATTCCTCCCTCATTTCTCCTGGCTTCTCCCCACAGTCCGTATCCGAGTCTGTTTGTTCTAGCTTTCACTTTCGCTTTTGACCTTAGAGATTTCTCCCAGCTTCCCCGCCATAGTCCACATCCGAGTCTATGAAAGCTTTCACTTTCGCTTTCAATCCTAACTTCTTTCCCACAGTCCATATCCGAGTCTATGCCTAGGCTTTCAATAGCTTCTTCCGGCACCTAGGCTCTTTGCTAGTCTCTCTCTCCGGTATTTTCCCATTTCTTTCCGTTTCTTCCCTCCTAAGTTTCCTATCCGTCCTAGGTTTCCTATCCGAGTCACGGCACCATTATGTCGCTCCCCCTCTTCGTGGAGGAGCAACACAGGACCCTGCGCTGTTCTTTTGTCTGCTCGGCCCTCCCCGGGTTTGCTGCTGGTTCTTCCCGGGTTGGCTACTATCCCTTCCACCTCCGTGGAAGGGCAGTTCCCCCTGGCCGCATTCCCCACTTCCGCAGGGGAGCGGCACACCGCCGGCCGGCTCTTCTCGGGGGCTGCACAGGTGTTCCTTCAGCTAGATGTTCCCCATAGATGTTCCTGGTGCATGCCGTCTCTCTCCTCCTTTATAGTCCTCCTCCGCCAATCCCAACTCGGCTGCCCACACGCCGAGTACGCTGCTCTCCTCCAATCAGGAGCAAGTCCTACAGTTTATCAGTTGAACTGGAGGCAGCTGTGCGGAAGCTGTTTACTTCTCTCCCAGCGCCATATTGTGGGAGAGCAGATGCATAGAATAAGTCTTAATTCCAGTAACAGTATAGTCCGAATTGTTCCCCACACCATTGGCCTCTTGAAAACAGCAACAATGCCTTGTTCAGACGCAATGGAGCCCCAGTGCCCACGGCATAAAATAGGCGCTCACAGACATTTGTGAACCTCAGTGGGCTCGTGAAGAAAGTTGCATTTTGTGATTCCACTTAGACATCCTTCAAATAATGAATTTGCAAATTCCCAGTATACTTTTAGTTGAAGAATTATATCGATAATCATATAGGAACCAAGTACCACTTCTAATGAGGTCTAATAACACAAGGAGAAAAGTTGTGTATCCCCTCACCATTAGCTGACCTGTAACTAGCACTCTCTTTCCCCCAGAAATGGCATTAAATTCTCTGTTGCAATCCGGAACTGCTTTGCTTACAACCCGTAGCAGCCCCTCAGGAAGGGGGAGATGTGCATGCTGGTGTCACTGGATAGCAGCGTGGAGTGAGACTCTTGTCCTATTTGAATGGTCAGAGCGAGTAAGATCCCCCGATGAGAGAGGCAGCTCTGCTTGGTGATGGCAGAGGTATCTCTGAACCAGCGGAGCAGGTGGCACATGGCTCTCTTCTGTACCCCTCTCCCGCACTTCTCAATTTCTAATCTTCCTGAAAATGAAAGCCCTACTACATGCTTGTCAAGCTATGGGCTTCCACCTGGCCCAGCCAAAAAGCTCTTAGATGAAAATATACCTTTTTTATTCATTTGGAAACAACAAATTATGATGCATTCTCTCCCAAGCAAAGACACTCAATTTTCACACATAGAAAAATGTATCTATTGGACAATTAGGTTCAGCTTATGTAAGTAATAAACAAGATCAGAGTAGATAAGTGAAGTTTGCCCATAAAGTATGATGGAATGAGATGAGAGTCTACAAGCTTGCCACAGGAGGAAGAGAAAACCTGACAATGAATGGAAGCTGGCAGGAGAGTACAAGGGAGTGATCTCTTTCTTTCTTTCTTTCTTTTTTTTTTTTTTTTACAGGCAGAGTGGACAGTGTGAGAGAGACAGAGAGAAAAGTCTTCCTTTGCCATTGGTTCACCCTCCAATGGCCGTCGCAGCCAGCGCACCACACTGATCCGAAGCCAGGAGCCAGGTGCTTCTCCTGGTCTCCCATGCGGGTGCAGGGCCCAAGCACTTGGGCCATCCTCCACTGTACTCCTGGGCCACAGCAGAGAGCTGGCCTGGAAGAGGGGCAACCGGGACAGAATCCGGTGCCCTGACCGGGACTAGAACCCGGTGTGCTGGTGCCGCTAGGCGGAGGATTAGCCTATTGAGCCGTGGTACCAGCCAGGAGTGATTTCTTGAAAGGTGAATTCTTATTCCTGCACTATTTTCTTTACAAACTTTCCAACTTTGGTGGGGAAGAACAGGGTTCATGCATATCTTACATGCATATTGTGTATAAAAATGAAAAGTTATGCCTGAAATGTGATCCCTGTTAAATACGAGAGTGGGAAAAAGAGAGGGAAGAGATGTACAATTTGGGACATGCTCAAGCTGACTTGCCCCAAATGGTAGAGTTAGAAACATACCAGGGGATTCCAATTCAATCCCATCAAGG